GCAGGGGAAGGGGAAGGGCCGCGCTGCTTCCCCCACCGAGCCCGAGCTGTGCCCGGGCCGGGCAGCAGCTCCCCCGGGGCTCCCGGAGAGACCCTTCGTCCTTCCCGCTTCCAGCACGGAAGAGGGAACTGGAAATCTGCTCGGGAATGATGTCTCGTTAGCCGGGTTTTCATCGCGAGCTGCTTGCCTGTCGCTGTTGTTGCCAGCGGGACGACAAAACAGGGTTGTTCCAAGCTCTCAAGTCGGCTTGGAAGAGTTTGGCTTTGCGGGGAGAGCACAAAACGGGGAGTGGAAGCCGCCAGGAAGGGTGCGGGTCGGCGGTTCCCCCTGCAGACGGGGGGTCCGTGGGGCTGCGGGTGCCTCGGGGCGGTTCCTGCCCCGGGGGGCTTCTCTGCCTCCTCGCCGGGGCGGTGCGGGCCGGGTCAGCCCCTCAGGAGCCAGGGAGGTGATGCTGCACTTCACAAGGCGCAGGTGACACTCTAAGGAAAGCCAAGTGTTGCGTTTGTCTAGACTTTTGGGGGCTTTTTTTGTTGTTGTGCGTGGTTTTTTTAAGGATATATGTCTGGTGAAGAGTCCCAGAGATGCTCCAAAAGCGGAACGTCCCTCGGGTTTCCTTCCTTATAGTTAAAAGTGGCATCCAGTAGCCATCTGTTGTCAGAGACAGTCAAAAGAGGATGTTGAGGCTCGTGCTTTGAAGGAGGAGAAGGACAGCCCTGCTGTAGTGAAAAGCTCTAAAATCCAGCTGCTGCTAGGAATTAAGTTGTAGTGTGAGGAGTCACCCGGCGGTGCTTGGATACATGGAAAGTAAGGGGGTTTTTCCCTTTTTTCAGCTGCCTGCTTATGAGCTTTCCCACATAACCTTGGATTTATTCATTCCAGACTGGTGACTGTTGCTGGATAGGCATTCTGGTGGCTGTAGGAAGACAAGGTATTCAGAGTACTCTTAAATGGATAATAAGGGTTCATAGCTTTATGATCCAGGTGAGAAAGAAGGAGAGGGGGCAGGTGGTGTCATCAGAAGTTCTTCAAGAAGAAATCGAGGAGGCCTTTCTCAACATTGCATGTTAATGTTGAAATACAGAATAAGATATTTACATGCTGCTGTTGTCACACAGGCTGTGTGTGCTGGTTGTCTTTTGCTGAGGAGTTTCCCAAAGGTGCGTGCGGGGCAGGGGGAGTTAGAATAGGCATTTAGGAAAGGGATGCATTCAGCAGGGTCTGTGCTGCTTGGGATGGTGCCTTGCTGCTGCTGTACCAACAGTTTAGGAATTACAGCAGCTTGGGAAGCCTCTGCAGCACAGAGCCTGTCTGGAGGACAGGCGGATTAGCATGTCTAACTCAATTAGCTGTGCCTTAATCTCTGAACCTTTGGTGGGTTTCCACGTTTGTTTGGGGTTTTTTCCTGTGTTTGTTGAAAGCAAAAGGCCAAAACTGTAAGTTTTGACCTGCAAAGTTGTATATTTTGATAGTAGTGACACTTTATGTGGTTTCAGTCCAAGTTCCTGGTTGGAGAATGCAAGTATTTGCCAATTTTGATACCGCACTTCAGCTGATAATTACAGTGTTATTAGTGCTGCAGTTACCGTTACATCTGTTCCTTACAAAGAGCTTTTATCCACAGTGCTGTTGTGTGATAGGGGAAGGCAGCTTCCATGAGATTCTCCTCTTGCAATCATGCTCCAGCTAATGTAACTGCCTATTTGTGGGCTTAGCATAGGGCTCTTCTCTAAAATAATGGCACTGTTAAAATGAGCACTTCATGGTTGTTAGACTCAGTGGAAAGTTTGCTTCAGCAGAAGCTCAGCAGCTGCGTGTGCTTTGTTGGCTTTGCCTCTTGGTTTCTAACCCGTCTGAAAGATACCAAGTGCTCTCCTGTGACAGTAAGAAACGTAATTAGCATGTTGATCATCTGTTGTGCATTCTGTGCCTTACTTTTACAGAAATATTGCTGGAAGAGCTGCCATTTAGTAATGCCTTTTTTTGATGCACAAAATTATCTCCCAGTTTTCACTCACAGCAAGTGAGTCTGCCCTTCCTCATTTAAATCAACATACTAATGTGTACAGTTTGGTTGTTAAATTTGGCATTGAGCTTGTAATTTCCAAGTGTATAATGCAGCTCTTTGCCACTAGTTTAACTGGAGAAAGTTACCTTTATAAACAGCGAACAGAGATAAATAGGTTTCAAGGGGGTCATTATTGTAATTACATTCGTTGCAGTATTGCCCTCTACAATTCATTGTTTCAGACTTTCACTAAATTCTGCTTCAGTGGAGGGACCCTTTTTAAGGTAATTTAGTAACATGTTATGGGGTGTGGGTTTGGGGATTAGCTTTGTGAGTAATTTGTGGGGAAAACCTCTTTCCTATCTTCCAAGCTCCTAAAAAAGTTCTAGAAATCACACCACCACGTCTGCTAAATTAAACCAGCGTGTGGAGTGGGACATTATGATCCTAATTGGGGTGAGGGTGTGTGATTTTTCTATTAGAAAAAGAAATGTTTGCAACGGCGTATTTAATGGGATGTAATAAAAAAACCCAGCAGGTTTAATATCCTCATAAAATTTCAGGGTGTTTCCTGCTGTCCTGTGTCACGCGTAGCCTTTTTACATCTGCGCTGAAGGGGAACGTTTGTGTTTCGTGATGGTTGCAGAGGAACACTGAACGTGGGGATTCATGGTGCTCAGCCTGGAGGGAGAGCTTTGTCAGTGCCATGCCCAGCTCACACACCTGAGCCCTCTGGAGCTGCTGGCACATTCCCTGGCACAGCTTTGGCCCTGCCATCTGTGTTGCCCCTGGCACAGCAGACAGGGTGGTACCAGCCAAGGGACGTCTCCAGCAGGCTGTTTGGGTGCAGTTATGGTGGTTTTCTGGGGGGAATGCTCAGGACAAAGGATGTGCTGCACTGCCTGATGGCAGCACCCAAGAGTGTTCTTTGGCCTTTTGTGTTTATCGTGTTTGGGCAGTCTGCAGGGTCTGGCTCCATCGTGACACTGTGGCTGGTGTCCCCTGCCCTTGCAGGGGCTGATGCTGGGAGCTGTAGCCCAGGCTGAGCTGGGGCTGTGGCTGCCAGTAGCACCCGTGCTGGCTGGGCAGAGCTTGCCTTGTGCCTGCACCATCCCATGGCCTCTGCTCTAAGGAACTCCCAGCTTTATACATGAGACAAGGGGGAATGGAAAGGTTGTGTCATATGAGCAATGGGCAGGCAAGCATCCTTTCAGGGCCACAGTACTTTGGGGGTTGTGTGGGAAGCTGGGTGAGTGGGGAAACAAACTGCGTAACGGAGTCCTGTACTTAGAAGAATGGATATTGGGAAGGAGTTGTGTAGGTCCTCCCTTCAAAACCAATATTTACTCAAAGGAGGAGGAAGAGGTAGAGGGAAGGGGCACTGGGTCACAGAAGAGAGCTATAGGGTTTGGAGGGTGATGAAGAGCAGCAGGGGAATGTAAAAGGAAGATGGAGTTGCGTTGGGCTGAGTAGGCTGAAGTGGGAGTAAGCTGAGGAGAATGGAGAGACAAAACAAGACACTAGTGAAAGCAGCTGAGGAGAAGCAGATTGATGTATCCCGGGTGCATGGAAGCACTTGTTCTGGCCTTTGTCTGCTCGCCTGCAAGGTTTTTTTAGGTTCTCATGGCACTGAGTCTGCCCTTTATTGCACTGGCTCATTGAAATGCATGGTTTTCACAGTAATCATTAAAGTCCACTTATAATTTGGCTGGAAAAGAAACACTAAAAGAAAATCTCACTCCCACGTGTTCTGTGCTAAGTCATATTTTAAATAAGGGAATGGCCTTATTCTTCAGGCTGTTATCAGCCATACACACAGAGCTGCTTTTCTGCTTGCAGGTGACAGTGATCATAACAAGAGATTCAAGCTTCTCAGAAGTAATTGTGTTCTGCTCCAACGTACTTGGCTATTCCCACTGAAATCTCACAGATGTTACTGAGATTAGATGCCCAGATCCTTTGAGTCAGGTTTCTAACCTAAACTTTGCAAGTGATAAACAAGAACCACATCCTTTTGCATGAGGGGAAACTGAGGCACAGTTAACTGGCTGTTCTCTTTGTCATGTGTGAATTCTGCAGTAGGGGTTTGGAGACAGTCCTCAGGTTCTGACCTTGACCTCTAACTAGCAGGCTGTGTGTTTCTTACACAGAGCTGTAGGTACACTTGCTTTGGAGCCCAGGCTGTAACAGTCCTTACCCAAATTGGTTGTAATCTTGGATCCTGAAAGGTTTTGTGCGGACACACAGTCCTCCTGTCAGTGTGTAAGAAATTTCAGGTTGGTGCTGCAACTGCATCAGGACAGGCAAAGGAGAGACAAGATTTACCTGTGAAAAATGGATCCTGTAGTGACCATTTGCTCAGTCATTTGAGTTGTGTTCCCTTCTTTTACATCTTTATTTACTGAGGGAATGAGTGTAGATCTCTCAGTATTAGGCAACAGGTGTGGAACCCACAGCTCCAGAAAGTTTCTCTCTCTTCCAGCTTTGAAATTTCTTCTGTGTGAAAAAACCCCTCCTGTCAGGAGAGAAAAGAAGATGTGAGTTCACTGAAAGCAGTGGTCCATCACTGTTAGAAAACCAAATAGACTCAACAGGCCTCTACCAACCAAAACTCAGTAGGCTTTGCTGTCGTGCCAGTATTTTGTAGGGCTTTAACCTTTGCATTTATCATTCTAGCTACCAGCTGAAAAGGGCATCTGATAGTATAGCTCTGCATAGATGGGTTTTTGAGATACTTGCTGAGGTTTAGTTTCACGTTGGAGGAAGGGGTTTGTTTAACAGAGCTTAAGCAAAAGTTACTAAGATCCATATAAGTTGGTAGGGAGAGTAAAGGGGTTATAAAAATAAACAGAAGCTGTATTGATTACAGTTAAGAGTTTTGTGCACCTTTCCAGTGGGTAGTGGTCTGAGGTGGAGGAGCTCTTAGCCTGACTTCTCATGGCCTGTCTTCCCTGGGCATTTTGGGTGTGAGAGCAAAGGAGGCCAAGCGCTTTATGTCTGTTTTAAAGATTTTTCAGATCAGCAGTAACATTCCTGGAGTCTTCCCAAGTAAAAGGTTTTCTGATGGGTAGCCAGCCGACAATGTTTTTTGGCATCACCAGCCTTGTATGTAACGCACTTATCCCTGGGATAGAAACATGTAAAAATGTCTATGTTCCATCTTTCCTATCTGTGAGAAGACTGGCTGGCAGATAAGATGTGTCACTTGACAGTGCCAGAACAAAAGGCAAACGGTCCTTTTACTACACAGGCTTCGGTCACTGTGTTCCACATGCTTGAACTCCTATAAAACAGTGACAGTGCCTACTTACATGCTCATGAATTATCAACTGCAAGGCATTTTTGTCTCCTTAAAGGCAAAGCAGAAATAAAATGTGTGTGTGTTTATTTTCAGTTTTATGGTGTCTCCTTCCAAGAGAGCAGCTGTAATCCAAGGGTGCAGAGGGCAATGGGGAAGAAATTCACATGATGTTCATCACTTCTAATGAAGATGACTTTTTTCAAATCTTTTTTTTCCAGAGATAAATGACAGCGAGGGTCACCCAAGCAGCAGCCACCAAACCTTGAAAGGAACCTCCAAATGGGCTACATCTCTGGAGAACCTCCTCGAAGATCCAGAAGGAGTGAAACGATTTAGGGTTGCTATATTAACTGTGGATATTTCAATAAACCAAAATTAGGATTTAAAGCTGAACGGGTCTCAGCATAAATGGTGCAGCTGTGCCAGTGCTGTAGGTACACAGGCATGCATCCTGCTAGATGCCTACCCTGAGCACAGGTGCCAGGGTTGGAGCTGTGGCATTTGCTGAGCTTCTCAGGTGGAGCCTTTTGCCTGCTGCCACTGCAGCTTGCTCTCCTAAGCCACATGAAGACTTTTGGTTGCATGTTTCTAAGAGGATCTATCAGCTGTTGCAAGGATTAACAAATTACTCTTGGATAAACTGCAGTCCTTGAGGCACCGATCTCTCTTGCCAGTCATTAATTATCACTGAGGACTGATCCTGCTCTCTGTGTTCTCATACATTGATACAACACGTTTTCCTTATTTAAGCAATGAGTTACCACTAACAGCTCCCAAGCCTGATAACTCTGTCGGGCTTTTACTCTGTGTTGGAGCAGCTGTTGTGAAAATAATTCCCTTTAAGTTTATGGCAAAGAGGGCTTGTGCAGCTCAGAATGCACCTTCATTAGGTGAGGGTGGAGAGTTGATTTTTCAAGGCCTTCTTGCCATACTAGCTGCAGGAATAGGAACTAGCTACTTGAGTGTGGTTTTTGCCATACCAAGCACTGGTAAAATGCACTGGGATAAAATTAATTCTTGCCAGTCTGGTTTGAAAGGTGATGCAAACCAGAGTTATAAAACACTGATTTAGAATTCTTAAAAAAATACAACAACAAGTATTTTTGGTGCTATTTAATTCTTGGCGTTATGTAATCACTGTTTTCTAACACTTGAAAGTGAAAACTGATGATCTCAAGAGCTATAAATATTTATGTAATTATTTTTTCTAAAGAAATCTGATGTGCTTTTTTTTCCCCATTTTAAAACATGCCTCACTTTTGGAGGAATGTGCTTTGTTTAAACACTGTCAAGAGAATACAAATACATCTTCTGCTTTAGTTTACTTAAGTTAATTTATTGCCACTGGTGATGTTTAGAAACGCTTTTATTGGTAGAGATTTTGCTCATTAAAAAAACAGAAAGGTAGTGGATGAGTATCTCAAGTAATCTGTGTCTGTCATTAAAATAGTTCATTATACTCACCTGCAAGTGAATTAATATTTTTTTGGATTTGCCTTTGAGTAATGGCTGTGAAATTGCTTGGGTTACTTCAGGGAGACTGAAGAAACTCTCCTTGTTAGTTACTGATATACTCTGAGATTAAATGTAGCTCATCCTTCTCCTGGATTCCAGGTGCTGAATTGTTCATTTGTGTCTTGGTAGTGTGCAGGGACCTTCCTGCAGTGGTTCTGTTGCACTGTTATGTAAACCCACTCCCTGGTAAAGCCAGTAGGCTTCTAGTTTTAATAACTACAGCTAGGAAGAGGGGAAAAACAATTGAGGAATTGGATCCTCACAGTTGGTTGTTTGTTTTTCTTTTCCCTAGGAGTTTTTAAAGAAAGAATTTAGTGAAGAAAATGTTTTGTTCTGGCTAGCGTGTGAAGAATTTAAGAAAACACAGGGAAAAAAACAGGTATGTTTCCTAAATCCATTTTACTTGCCAACATAGCTCCACCTCTGCTAGGGAAACTGTAAGGTTTCTGTTGCATAACCTGCTGCATGTGAGTGCAAATAAATGTATTTGAAGGAATTGCACTGAAATCACAGTGGTGGAATTGTTTGTAAACAAAGCCGGTTCTATTTCAAATCAAAACAAAACAAAATGCTGAAATTGTCAAGTTTCCCATGTTTTGAAAACTGATTTTTTTTGTTGTTGCTTGGGAATAGCAAAAAGTTGAATTCAGTGATGTTGCATCATCTTGCTTGAAAATATAAAGAGGTTTCATTCAGGACTTTTTTCAAAGCATAGCAGCTATTCTATGAAAATAGACACCATTATAATGTTTTATTGGAACATAGAAACAACAAACAATGCAATCAAAATGTTTTACAATACCAAAGTGAAAAGTTTTGTCTCAGGAAATAAAACATGACAAAACAAAAGACAATTTAGACTTCTTTGCTTAAATGTCTATTCAAATTGATGTATACCTGCAGAGCATTTTCATGAATACTGTCTTTTTCCAGTAGAACATATTCTAATGGAAATTTTCCAACCAGCCACCTCCAGTGAGTTTTTTTTCCACTGCCTGGATCTTGGTCTACGTTTAGATCCACCAGGAACACAGGATCCACTTTCACATTTAGGCTTCAAATCCTATAGAGTCACACCTAAATACACACTGTGGTTTTTTGCCTGTTTCTGAAAAAGGTTTTGTGATTTTTCTTTTTACTATTTTTTTTTTTTTGTGAAAAGTTCTGAATGTATTTATCTGTGAGATGCAGATTCTATGAGCATGAAACAAAGTAGTTTCAAAACTCCAGCTGAGCATCACTGTCCTTGAGACTCGGGCTCCTAAGTCCTATAAACCCTTTTTCTGAAATCCCACTGTGATGCTTTTGAGCTGTGCAGCTCTTGTTGCCAAAGGGAGCATTTGAAAAGGCAACGGGTGGAAATGCATGGCCCATTTTGCCCTCTTCTGCCCCAGGTTGATGGAGTGCCATGAGGATGTGAGGCTGGGAAATTCCCAGTTAAACCTCCTTCAGATGGGACTTCTTAGCTGGTTTTGGACTGTGCATCCTAGGACAGGAAACAGTAAACTGATGTTTAGAGGTAGTAACTTAGGGAATTCTTGAATGCATTGCCAAATGAATGGACAAAGACCTAACTAGGTTTCACTTAGCTTAATTATGGAGTACCAATCATTACACACTGGAGAGTCTGGGGGTTAGGACTGTCAAAGCTATTAGAGCCAGCTAGAGTAAATATGCTTTAGAATTACACAGGCTTACAGTAAATTTTTATAGCTACTTCTTATGGATGGCTTTGTTTAGATAATTTACAAAGCTAGAAAAAGCACTAAAAATAGAAATCTTTCCAGTGTTTATGATAGCATGAAGGATGGATTTATCCTCTGAACGTGACTCTTGAAATCACTCTATGTCTATCTAATGTGAGTGAAGTATTCTAAAAGCTACTTTTAACTTATTTTATAACCTGCTTCTCATTAAAACTGGTTTACCACAGAAACTAGCTCGCAGACACTTAGACTTTCGGTCAGATGAAGCTGATTTCAATTTAATCCAGATTGAAGAGGATTTTTTCCCCTGTTTTTGAAGTATAAGATAAACTTTTCATTACTTGACATGAGAATGTTAGTGTGGGGTTTTTCTTGGTCAGTTTAAGCTTGCACAAAAGTCACCAGCTGGTCAGTGGATTAAGTGTCCCTTTTGCCTAGTGTTAATGTCATCCCTTCAGTGTCAGCCTGGAACAGGGTTTGGTTTGGTGTGGGCTGGTAGAGCATTGAGGTGGTTGGCTCAGTAGACATGCTCTCCTTCCCTTATGCCCTTTCTGGTCTCCTCAGGTAGATGCAGGCTCCCCCTGCTCCTGCTTTCTGTTGGATGCAAACTGTCTAACTGTGTTAATGCCATCCTAAGAAAAATATCCTGGACCTTTCCTGAAAGCTTATTAAATTTGGTTCGGTGGTCACAGTCATGTGGGCTCTGCCAAGAAGCTGGCATATCAAGCCAACACAGGCAGATCTTGCAAGATGCTGTGCTGATACATCTTGTCTGTCTCCTTCCTCTTTAATGTGAACCTCTGTGCAGCCAGGATTGATTGCTGGATCATGGGAGCAGAGGGAGCACAGGCAAGAAGCAGCCAGGCTCTTGGCTGTTGTGTTGGCTCTAGGCTAGTGCTGGGAGTGCTTGGTCAGAAGTAGAGCTCAGACCAGACTGGTCCAGGAGTTGGTGTTTATTTTCCTGTTTGGGTGAACTACAACAAAATGCATGCAAATTTCGGGGAGCAGGGAAGATTTCTAGCAGATCTGGGCAGCAAGCAGGCTACATTACTGGTTTAGGCAGGTTTTGGATGGACTAGATTCAACCTGTCTTCTCACAGGGTGGAAGCACAAACTCCTCTCCTCAGCTCAAGGCACACCTCTGTAGGTTTTGGTTTGTTTTTTTTTAATAAGGATATTCTTTCTTTATCATTCCTTTAAAATTGAAATTAAAAGAGAAATGTGATTTTTAGTGAGGATTGAGGAAGGAATTAGGTCAAGTCCACTGTAGCAGTAAGCTCTGCTGCCACCCATATGGTCCTCATCTTAGGACACTTTTAATTATTGAAATGGGAGTGGTGGGGATAAGTGAATAAAACTTAACTTTAAATATTTTATTGCAGTTAGTCATATGCTGTTGTGTTTGTGACTGTTGATGAAATAAACAACATGTCCATGGTGCCACTTCCCAAAGTTTTTAAGTGTTTCTTCTCTTTCTGCTGAGCTTTAAAAATAAAATACAGATTGTAATAAATGCTGTAAACACCAAGGAATCTTTTCAGCTATCACTAAAACCCACCAAAATACCCGTGTCAAGAAATTTGGGGAGAATAATTTGGGAACAAAGTGTACGTATTCAGGAGTTTCTTCTGCCACTTCCCATGAGGAATGTGGCAATGATTAAGCAGGACTGGGTAATGCTGCACAGCTGCTAACTGCTGGAGCCTGTTCTGATGAGCATCTGGCACTTCCATTCCACCTCATTTGGGAACCACACATGCTTGAGAGCTGGGTTTGACCTTAGGAAAGGAAGTGGGAAATAATGTTGTATCCACTTGAAATGGTGTTGGGGATTTCTGTAGACAGAACTTCATATTCCAAATGGGAATTTGGCAGGGATGCTGGGGCAAGCACACAGATGTAAGCAAAAAGTGCCAGAAAACCTTTAATAACCACCTGTGAACAAGATCCCAGTTTAAGTGTTGTTTAAATTCCAGAGCAGAGTCCCCTGTGCAGAGGCATTAGTTCAGGCTGACACAGAACAAAGAATGCCACCCACTCTGCTTGGACCTGGCTCTCCCTGAATATTTACTGGGGGGGTGTATGAACACACTGGCGGCTTTAACTGGACTTTAAAAAAAAATAAATGTGTTGTAGTTAAACTGATGCTGTGCTACTGAAGCATGGCAGTTGCTCCATGTGCAGCAGAACCTGTAACATCTCGCTGTGCATTCCATATTTCCTCATTACTATAAAGTCAGATCCCCTGTGTCTCTCCAGTGACCCCCTCTCCCTGCCACGGCGCTTTCACTTCCTTCCTTTGTCATTCTTTCCCAAAAAATTCAGAGATCCTCCCCATTTCACCGACCTCCCACACAATCCTCTTGTTCCCCATGTGTTCTTTAAACTTCCTCACGGTACTTCTAGTTTCATGTTTCCCCTCAGGCTTTGCTCTGTTCTTTCTCTGCAGTGTCCAGCTTGCTCCTGTGTTCCTTGAGGAAGCAGCAGCTTATGTTGTGGCTGATGGGAGCTCTGTGTGCATTCATTAGGCAGCAGCTGAGCACATGCTGGCAGTTCAAATAGAGTAGATAACTTTTGAACGTGCACTGTGGCTTTTCCCTTGGTGCATGTGCTGCTTTTTCTCTCCCTTTCCTTTCTCTCGCAACTCTGTTTACATTGAATCAGTAGGAGGGTAATTGTATCTCAGTCTTTTGCCCCTCTTTTAAATATGGTTAAAGTTAGACAGCAGGTTCAAAAGTTATCAAGGTAGAACTGACAGTACAATCACTTGTGCTTGCTCATGCCATAATAGCTAAAGGTACATGTACTGTATCTGCATCAGGGTATTAACTTTACCAATTAAAGCAGTCACATCTCTGATTGATTGGATTAATTGCTCATTTAGAACAGATGTGGCTGACCAAGTCCTCCCTGATGTGTGAAACTGAAAAGATCACTATTTGTTTTAAAACACTTCGTTATGACCTAGTGCACCCAACACATGATGTTTTACCCACCAGATGAATACTCTGTATTAAAAAGGAGTAGTCCTGGAAAATGGGTGCTCCCATCAGCAGTGAGAGAGTTAACTCCTGAGGCCTTGTGAGTTGTCAAACGCATGTAGCTTTTCATCTAATTATCCCCAAATGTTGATCCTCAGCTGTAAAACATGAAAGGAATCCTGTGACTCCTTCATGGGCAAGAGTTTAAACGCTTCCTTCTTCAAGGCCACTTCCCATTAAAGATGCAGCCCTTTAGTTGGGATCTGGAGATGTGGTTGCTCATTAGGTGTTCCACAGGGAACATGGACAAGTATCCCTGGCTTAGGACTGTGCAGAGCCTGCTGCTGCACAGGGCTTGGTTTCAGTGTGCAGAATTCAGATTGCAGCAGGGCAGCTTTCCTCCTGCCTGGCTGGGCTCTCCTCTCCCCCACTGTTTTTCTCTAATCCAACCTTCTGGTCAAAGGGGAGCTTGTATTGACTTTCAGAAGGTTGTGGCCACTTGTTTAGTGCTTTGAAGCCTGAAGATACTGGGTAGGCTCAAAATGTTATCACTGTTACTGGTTTATCAAGAGAAGACCACTGAAAAAGGATTGCTGAAATCAGAGTAAACACTAACAAAAACCTGCTTTATGCAAGTCACACCTTCCCTTATTTATCAGCTTTCAGAGGTCCTTGAGAGTCTTTACCATTGGCCAAAAAGATACTTGCTGGGTTTTCTTAATCATGTAGCCAGTGTTACACATGAGATGCTCTAACTTTGCTTAGTAAAGCCTGGCAGTAAGAGTAAGTTTTCCCAGTGCTTTTTCCCCTTTGAGTTCCTTGTGTATGCTGGTTATCTGTTAGTAAAGATAGCCTTCTGAGAGGAACAAAGACAAGGCCCAGATAATGCTGATCAATTTTACATGGATTCTCAGATTCAGACATCATAACCTATTTAACCTAGAGTGCCAAATCCTGGTACCTTCCACTCATCTCAGTGCAGGAGTTGGCCTACAGAGGTGTTTTACCTCCAGTACAAATGAAGAAGCACAAATATGATACTCTACACACATTTGTTTTGTTACTTGTTTTCTTTTTTAAATTCAGACCATGTTTTGGTTTTAAGATGTAGAACCTCAAGAATTAAGTGACCCAGAGCAGTCTCCAATGTAATGTTAACAAATATTCCCCCAGCAAGCAGTTCCTTAAATATATATGTTCTTTTGCAGATGCAAGAAAAAGCTAAAGACATTTACATGACTTTCCTGTCCAGTAAAGCTTCCTCCCAAGTGAATGTTGAAGGGCAGTCCCGTTTGAATGAGACCATTTTGGAGACACCTCACCCTCTCATGTTTCAGAAGCTCCAGGACCAGGTAAAGTTATTTTCTTCAAGAACAGGGTTTTTTTAGGTTTTGTCTGCTTTCAGTGGACTCTGTTTTCTAAGCAAAGGCTTAGAAAAAATGTAGGGAATTTTGGAATTTGCCTACTGCTGCCTGTGGTGTGAATTCAATAGGTGGGCACAGACCTGGGTTCGTTCCATATTGGGGACATCAGTGCAGCTGCCCTGAAGCTGGATGTACAGTACCCCAGGCTACTGGCCCTGTCTAAATAACACCAATTAGTTAAAATACTCAGCACAACTGTGCTAATTCCAGGGATTAGTAATACTTGGATTGGAAACATGCTAGAGAAGTGGTGGAGGAATCCCATTAGTATGGGAAGAAGGTCTGTGCACTTCTAGAACTAAATGCAGAGCATTTAGGGGTTATTGCAGGTGTCTGTGGAGTTAAACTTCTGTTTATTGCTGTTAGGTAATAGTTCTGATCTTCTCTATTTTTCAACCCTTAGAAAGTTATGAAGAGTGGTATAATTTATTCTCTAAAGAACAGTGTTAACAGTTCTTTAGTTACAGTTACTTCTGGCACTGTGTGTCTGAGGTACAAAAAGGCACAGCTTGAAAGCCACAGGCTGGTCCACAATGTTACTGGTACTGCACTTCTGTTCCCTGGGGACCTACTGATTGAGATGGGGCTGGTTGTGAGGTCTGGTGCTGTGCTCCTGGGATGGCCTTGAACAAGTAGCTTGGAGGCACTTGTTCATGGGGAATGAGGTAGTGTTAGAGTGGTTCATGGAAGGTGTAGATTTCAAAATACTTACAGGGTAAATATTCCTGCTTCATGGACACAAGGAGAGGAGGAAAGAATAAAATTTTTTTTGCATGCTGTTACAAAATCTGACACTTCTGTGCATTTGGCTGGCCAGACTCCAGCAGATTTTTTTATCTTGCTCTTTCTCTCTGGGACTGCTTTAAATGATACAGGAACAAGAGGTGTCCAAGTTTGTAATGCTGACTTAGGACATTTTTTCAGGCAATGTCTTCCTTACAATTTCTTTTTCCTTAAATGTAGTTACGTTATAGTTGGCCAGTGCCAGGAGGTGTAGATTGACTGTGCTTAACTGCAATGATTTGGGTCTTCATTGAGAGGGTGTCTAGAGATTTTCAGTCTCTCACTACGTAGCTTATAAAGCAAGATTTCCACTGTTTTAAACATGAACTTAAATATGTAAAGAAACAGGGGTTAGTAAAATGCGTTGTGTAATTTATTTGCAAGGGGGATGTTTCAGCAAATACACAGACAAGAGCAGTCAAGTTTTCCCTGTTTGAGTTTGCCCAGGTTCCTTGAGGATGTGAAGTGAAAAAGCAGCTTGAGATTATTATTAATTTTTTTTCCCTCCTTACAAACTGTTGTATCACCTACTTGTACTATCAGTTAAAAATGAAGCCAATAAAGGTGAAGTTCCAGTTACCCACACATGGATTATTCACACATGAAGGTCAGAAAGCAGAAATTCCTCTTGGAATTTCAGTTTCTCTGAGTCCCATAAAATGTAATCACTCATGAAGCCTGACTCAGAGAGACTCCATCAGTGAAATAGTAGGCAGAGGGGGATGTAGGCTTTGGTTGAGCCTCAGCTACAGTTTTGAGGTTTACCTTTTTCCTTTCTCTCTGCTCCAAGACCAAGCGAAATATGGTCCTGACCTTGACACCTGAAGATATTCCAGGCTCCTCTCCTAAGCCCTTTTATTTTCAGAAAATACCAAATGGGTTCCAGCTTTTTTTTTTTTTATCTGAAGTGGTTATAAATAGAAGAGAAAAGCAGTTGTGTTGGGGGACAAGCCAGAACTCAGCCCTGGGAGAGGAGAGCTGTGCTCAGTGCTGACTTTGTTCTTCCACACTGGCTGTGGGAATATGGGCTGGTTTTGGGCTAGTGCAAAGCTTGATGGCACAAGATGAACCCATCACCAATTTTAAATCACACTTTAACTGGCAAGTTACACCTGTACCAGATCAGCTTTTTGTGGCAGGTACCTGCAACATTTCTGATCTAGCCTGAGACCAGTCTTGTTTATTGGCTGTGTGGTAATGTAAAAAGCACCAAAGGGTTGGCATGAGTTTAAGAAACCTTGGTTAAACCAGTTGTTTCAGTCTCCATTCAGTTTGCTGTTTCAGAATCTGTGTAAATGATTTAGAGGCTTTTCTTGACAATCCAGTGCTCTGTGTAGAAGGAGCTACTGCAGTCAGAAATGTACCTAAAGGCACCACTGAAAGAGCAGCCAAGCATTGGAACAGGCTGCCCAGGGAAGTGGTGGAGTCACCATCCCTGGAAGCGTTCAAGCAACATGTAGATGTGGCACTTCAGAGCATGGTTCAGTTGGCATAGTGGTGCTGGCTTTACAGGTGGACTTGATGATCTTAAATGTCTTTTCCAACCTTAATGATTCTGTGATTCTATGAAAGGTACCTCTTTTTCTTCAGCTCTGCATTATCCCTCTGAATATCTTCCAGCTACCCTGCCAGAGGACATCCTCGCTAGGTTTCACTCCTGGTGCCTCTGCAGAGCTGTGGGAGGGGACCAGGGAATCTCCTGGTTTGTCCACACATACAGTTACCTGATTGTCAGCCATAAAATACCACCTAGTGACCATGGCATGTGACCTTCCCACCTTCAGTATGAGGTTTCCAAAGTTGGTTGTTGTGAAAACCATATTCTGATTCATAAACTGTGGAGCCTACAATGTTGTTTGCTACATGCAACCCCCGTTGAAATGTATTTTAATGTCATGCTTTTGAGTAATGCTTTAGTTCTACCAGAAGAAAAATACTTTAGAATTCTTATACTGTCCTTCTCATTTAAAATCTGGTTTTGCTCAGGTCATTGTTTTTGTGTTTCCTCCCTCCACCCCTTGCCAGATCTTCAATCTCATGAAATATGACAGCTACAGCCGCTTCCTGAAGTCAGACATATTCCTAAACCATAAGAAGTCCGAGGAGCAAGAGGAGAATTCATCAGAGGCTCAGACTGCAGCTAAAAGAGCATCCAGAATTTACAACACATGATACAATGAATCTCTTCAGGAGAGGCAGTACAATTACTGAATTACACTCAGGAATAGTCAAGGTTTATAGCAGTTGCATTTAGGGCTTGAAAAGCTCGAAACCTTTTTAGGAGATACTTACCTTCTTAATTGCTTGAACAACTAATTGTTTTTTGCATGATAGCTAATAACCAAGCACCCAGGGAAAGACTTTTCTAGCTAAAAGGCTGAGGTATTCTTCCATAGCATGAATTGCATTTCATATTTCACAAGTTAAAGTGCTTTCAATTTTTGTATTTTCTTGTGTGAGGCATCATGATGATGAGAAATGGGAGACAGGATGGTTGTTTTTTTACTTTTGCCTTGTAATTTTTATTTGTGACCAGTACATTCTGGATTGCTGGGAGAAGCAATGTGGATGAGTAATTCTTAGCAAACTTAGTCATGAGGGAAAAGAATCTTTCAGGGTTAGCCTCAGTAGAATCCAACCCCTTCCTGTGTAACATTGTTCGTGCACGGTGATATCTGTTTTGCTTTGCTTTTATTGTTGAATCAAAACACTTCTGTAGTAATGACTTTCATTTCTGTATTTCTTAAATTTCCCGAGTGTTTTTGCAGTAGACAATCATGTTCTTCAGAAGATGGAATGACTTGCATTCCCTAGGGAACAAAAGCTCTAAGATAGACAGAATCTCTGAAGAACTTCTAAGAGCCATTAGGAAACATCCCACTCAGGGCACACAACTTTCAGCAAAGCTTGACCTGGGCATGTCCTGCATGTCAGCAAAACATCAGCATCAGATGCTGGCACTGGGAGGCATCTGGTTTCTCCTAGGTCTCCTGGGCAATCCTGCCCTGTGTGGCAAGAACACTTTGGCAAAGGACCAACCAATAAAGTCTGGCTTTGTTTTACTAAAATCATCCTGCCTAATATTGTTTGCCCAGAGAAATATCTCAGGGCTTCTTAATCCTAACTTTTGATAGCTGCAATGGAACAGGTGGTTGATGTGATTTAGCCATTCTCACATCAAGCTTGAGAGGAAGGGGAATTTATTTCATGCCCAGAGCAATCAGATGTCAGGGAGGTAAAGGAAGATGCTCCCAATGAGCCTTCCATATCATCCTGGGACTGTGTCAGAGCTGCAAAGCACATTTTGGTGTACAGTTTTTCCTGTGTTCATGTAGTTTTGAATTAATTCACTGCTGTCTTACTAAATTGCAGTTGAAGATGGGAAAGCATATTGGCTCCATGGTCTATTTCCAAGCTTTGCAATGTGTAGTCTGGCTATTTCACGTGCTCTCATTATTTACTCTTTCATTTTGTGCACTGCTTTTCTTGAACATCTGTTTATGTGCTGTCTAATCTAAATGCACAGTTAGCTTTTGATCATTTTATAGTTCTTTTTTTTGTCAGAAAGGCCAGATGTGTTTCATGCATTACTGTCACTATCAACATTTTTAAAACGAAGTCTAGACTAATTTTTGAGGATGCAGACTCACTTGGTAGACTTGAGTAGTTCTTTTAACTCTGAGCCACTCTTGCAGATAATGTGTAAAGGATATGGTTTCCATGGGCTCCTCCCTAATTAGATGGAAGTGTAGGAACAGGAGTTCTGATTCTAACCCCTGAATGGCCTGTTAATTTATGGAAAATCAAAGAAGAGGTCAGTGCCTCCATATGCATGTTTTAAGGTCTAATTCTTATGCACTCTGTTCATTTTCCTTTTATGCTCTCAAAAGATTTAATGGTGAAGTCATAATCTTGCTCCAGGCACTTTCAGTGCTATTTGACCTCATACTTGAGTTGCATTTAAATATTTTGCTGAAAAGGGTGAAGTAAGCACGTGCTGCCTTCTGTTGTGCTGGGAAATAGGACCATCCAGGTCTGGACTTGCCAACTCTTTGTAATCTCAGGATTGCCTCGTTTGAAAATTCACAGTAATCATGAACTCTTAATGTCTGCCACAGCAGAGGATGGAACTTCTGATACCATTGAAGTCCTTGGGAGTGGGATGCTTAAACACATTGAAGAGGTGGGATTTGTTTCTTTCCAGTTAATGCAGCAGAAGTCTTAGTGATACAGGAAAAATGCAGGATGGGGACCTTCATGGGAGAAATGCAGAATGAGCTCTTACCACATTCATCACGTGGATGCACAGTAGGTTCATTTTTAATCATATTGATTTTAAAAATGCATCAGTAAGGGAAAAGGGTCTTTGACTATTGTGTTTTAAAATGATAATAACAAAAAATGAAACCAGAATCTCTATGGGTAAGGGTAGGGCATTAAAGAGAGAAAATACTCATTTGTAGCTGCTTATAAACAAACTTTTCTTTGGCAATATGCTCCCTGCCAGGTACTGTATCATTTGCTTCTTAAGAGATGTGCCATAGGAGTAGACAAAAGGTGCTTTACACTTCTGCCAACCAAAAGTTAATCAAATGGAAATGCATTTTGTAGCAGCATCTCAGTGCCTGTGATGTTTGTTTCAATCCCTATGATGTTTCTAAGGTTATCTGCCTAAAT